GTTTTTTCCCGCATTGATGACATGCATACAGTTTCTCTTCAGTGTGGATGTTCATGTGTCCTTTAAGATATGCTGACTGTGTGAAAAACTCTTTCCACATTGATCACGTGTATGGTTTCTCTTCAGTGTGGATAATCTTGTGTATTTTCAGATTTATTGACCAATTAAATCTCTTGTCGCAGTGTGAACACTTGTATGGTTTCTCTCCAGTGTGGATGTTCATGTGCTCCTTAAGGTGTGCTGCTTGTGTAAATCTCTTCCCGCACTGATCACAAGTGTACGGTTTCTCTCCAGAATGAGCTCTCATGTGAACATCAAGACTGTATTTTAGGGCTGGGCGATAATTCGATTATCACGATTTAATTTTCCTCGATAAAACGATATAAAGAGTTCAATAAATGTTCGATATAATGTTTATGCGCCAAAAGCAGAATGAAACAGCGCGACTCATTTGAATCGTGCCACACGGAGCGTTTATCTGCTCGGATCACAGTTCAAACTACCGAGTGGTAGCTCACTAGAGCAGATGTGTTTACTCGGTCACGCAAGCATTAAGCAGCGCTGTGAGATACACTGCTTGAATTCAGCAATGAACACAAATGACTCGGTGATTTAAACTAGTTTAAAGCCAAACAGGAGAAACACCGTGTGCAGCAAGACAGTCAGAAGGCTTTTCAATCTACACGTCGCCATCATTTACCATGTATTTACTGTATTAACACTCACTGCAGCATGGTATTGTGGCAGATATTTGGGATATTCACACTGATTTTTATTATAGGAGTAATGGTAATTATATTAAGCATTTGTGATTAAGCTATAGCATTTGTGCATTTATACTGAATGTTGTTAGACTACTGTTTTTCATACAAACAGGCTACCTAAAAACCATATAGTTATATTTTTACCATGGTATTAAGGTGCTATATGTGTGGTTTTAACTGTGTTTATCATGATTAAAATGTATGCTACTATGGGAGACCGATGCTTAATAAAAAAAATAAATAAAAAAAACTTGGTCAGAATCAATTTAACCATATAAAACTGAGGTTGCTATAATTTTTGTACATATGTTACTGATTTTGATAATGAACAAAAATGTACCTCTGCATCCTAACTCAAGCTACTATCAAATGTGCATTTCTAAGAAACAAAAAAGTGATGTTATTATTAATATTATCAGGCTACCCAAACCTGTTTCTTGATTTGAAACAGTATCACTCATTAGGACATGCAGAAACTAAGAAATACTTTTCTATTTAGATATTTATTTTGTTAAGGAAAATTAATGGTCTGGTTTCTACAACTTTCACTTTGGAGCAAAAATCTGGCTTTAAACTTGAAAGAAATAAAGATTTGACATTTACCGTGATAATTATCGACTGATATTAAAAAAATGACTGATCATTTTTTTGGCCATATCGCCCAGCCCTACTATATTTGTATGTGAAACTCTTTCCACACTGAGTGCAGGTGAAAGATTTCTTGGCTCTTATTTTCTTTAAAACTTTCCGTTTGGTTTAAGAGCAACTCAAATGTTTTTTCTCCAGTTTTGACATTATTTTTCTTCTCCACTTCGATCAATTATTTATTCTCTTCATTTTCTTCAATCAACTCTGAAACTAAAAGTAAAAACAAATCATTTTCACTAACTTGCGAAAAGAAAAAACAGAAATGTGAAAGGACATAAAAAATTAACCCCGATAAAACGGTTTATGTTAACCCTGAAATGAGGGAAACTCTAGGTTTTCTGTTTCAGAATGGGAGATTTGTCAAGCCCGAGAAAGCAGCGCAAGTCAAGCCCGTTTCTGAAAGAGAGGTAACTTATACTTGCAGGACAGTGACCGTGGTAACTTACACTGTGAACATAACCTGGTCGGGAGCAGGTTTTCCTCTGTAAACCTAGAGTATCTTACCGTCTCCTCCCCCTTTTTAAAGCGCAAGCAATGGTTAAATACCTCATTTATTCAATCAGGCTGCAAAAATGTTTTTCTGACTGAGCATTGTTTGTCTTATTTCAAGTACAACCCGATTCCAAAAAAGTTGGGACACTGTACAAATTGTGCATAAAAACAGAATGCAATGTGGAAGTTTCAAATTTCAATATTTTATTCAGAATACAACATAGATGACATATCAAATGTTTAAACTGAGAAAATGTATCATTTAAAGGGAAAAATAAGTTGATTTTAAATTTCATGGCATCAACACATCTCAAAA